CTACTGCAGTGGCCCTCACGGGGTGGCCAAGAGTGCAGCAGGCAGCAGGACTCATGGGCTTGCTTAGAACAGGGAAGGACAGGTTTGGGCCAGCCCCACACCCAACAGGGATTCTTGAATCCTGCCTTTATGGCTCTTTCTGAAAACACCACAGCTCTGGCCACCTGCATCTCTGAGAGGTGACCACCTCCTGAGGCCAGACACACACAGGGTCCTGGGTCCCACATCTGCTTCCATCCTCTGTCCTCTTCCTCTGATGATGGTGATGGTGGTGGAAGTGGTGATGATGGTAGTAATGGTGGTGGTAGTGGTGATGGTGATGTTGGTGGTGGAGGGAGCAGGGATGACGGTAGTGATAATGATGGAGGTGGTGGTGATAGTGGAGGTGGTGGGGGTGATGGTGGTGATGATGGTGGTGGCGGTGGTGGCAGTGGTAATGGTAGTGATGGTGGTGGTAGAGTTGATGCTGGTGGTGATGATGGTGGAGCTGGTCATGGTGGTGGTGGTGGTGGAAGTGGTGGAGATGATGGTTGTGATGATGATGATGTTGGTGGAGGTGGTGATGGTGGTAGTGATGAAGGTGGAGGTGGTGGCAGTGATGGTCGTGATGATGATGCTGGTGGAGGTGGTGGCAGTGATGGTGGTGGTGATGATGGTGGTGGAAGGAGTAGGAATGATGGTAGTGATAATGATGCTGGTGGAGGTGGTGATGATGGTGGTGGTGGAGGCGGTGGAGGTGGTGGTGGTGGTGGAGGTGGTGGTGGAGGTGATGGTGGTGATGATGGTGGTGATGGTGGTGGCAGTGATGGTAGTGGTGAAGGTGGTGGTGGAGGCGGTGGTGGTGGCAGTGGTGGAGGTGATGGTGGTGGCAGTGATGGTGGTGGTGGAGGAGGTGGTGGTGGTGGAGGTAGTGGTGATGATGGCAGTGATGGTGGTGGCAGTGATGGTAGTGGTAGAGGCGGTGGTGGTGGTGATGATGGTAGCAGTGATGGTGGTGGTGGTGGCAGTGATGGTGGTGGTGGAGGTGATGGTGGTGGTGGTGATGATGGTGGTGATGGTGGTAGCAGTGATGGTGGTGGTGGAGGTAGTGGTGATGGTGGTGGTGGAGGTGATGGTGGAGGCGGTGGTGGTGGTGATGATGGTGGTGATGGTGGTGGCAGTGATGGTGGTGGAGGTGGTGGTGGTGGTGGCAGTGATGATGGTGGTGGTGGTGATGATGGTGGTGCTTGTGGTGGTGA